CAGGGGATTGCAACTTTAAATTCCCAGCTTTGGTAGAGGTAATTGTTACAGAGTGTCCAAATATGCAGATTTTCTCTAAGGGAGAACTAAGCACACCAAGACTTTATACAGTGAAATTGACAGGAGATATAGATGAAGATATGGATGGAGGTATAGACGTAGATATAGAAAAATTTATAGTTGATCATTTTCATAAAGATGATGATGAAGATGAAGCTGGAAAAGAGGATGAAGTTGAAGATGAAAGAAGTTGGGAGGGTAATCTTAACAGCACTATACAACAGTTGTTCAAGGAAAAGGTATGCATTGATGATGATTCCAAAGACTTCCTCATGGGTTTTTTTTTTTTTTCATCAACTTTTTAAGTTTTTTCTTTAACATTTTCCTTAATCATCTAGTTAAAGGACAATGTCAAATTATAGGAAGTATCTCCTTAATTTTTGTTTTTATTTTATTTAAATAAAGTCCACTTCTATTAACGAGGTCCAAGACACATCTAGATATGATCAATGAATTAGAGTGCAAGGTCGTGGTAATTTGATGAACTCCTTTTTTTTTAATTTGCTATGCAAATCAAGAGAAGCACTTTCAATTATAAACCATTTTACTGCAGTGTTTGCTTTCCCCTTTCAACAAGTTGTTTTGATGGTTACAGAGTGCTCGCAATTGTAAAGACGACAATGGAGAAAACAGTGATCATGATGCTAAAGAAACTGATGGTAATTAATGGCTATGAACAAGATTGGGATTTTAGGTGATGTTTCTCTCTCTAAGTATTATTCATGGTCACTGTGAACGAACATGGTCTTGTATTTATATATAATTGACATCTTAGGCAGTATCTTAACAAATATATCATATCTTGCTATATACCCAAAAAAGAAAAGAAAAAAAATAAAAGAAAGTTCCTATCTTTCTCACGAATCTCACCGCATGTATGAGAACCCAAGTCTTACTTTTTTGCTTGAATGTTTCTTGTGAAGAGAAAAAAAAAAAAAAAACCATTCGTTGTCTCTGTTAGGCGCATTCTTGCTTTCTACACCATTAATTAATATATATTGTTTTTATAGCTACAGAGTGCCTAATCAATATTTTGAAGAAAGCATTGGTCATTATTCAACCATTCGTTGCTTGAATACTTAGAGAGAGAAACATCACCTAAAATCCCAATGGTGAATATAGATGTTGCAGTCTATATTTTATCTCTTATAATCATCTATATGTACTGATGAAGATTTTTTTTTCCTTGTAGGTTTTCATGGTGCCCTCACAAGAAGCTAGATTTTTGTGTTCCCAAGTGTTCCCACATTGCTTTGGCATTCTAAAGAATCTTTCAATTTTTAAAATTTGTGTGTGACATGATTATCAAGTAGTTAATTGTGAAAATCACTAGAGACCATTCCATTTTATTTTTCATGTTGTGCTAGTTTTTATCATGTTAAAGAGAGCAATTGAATTTGTTGTGCATCTTTATTTGAAAAAGAGATGTGATTTGTGAATTAATTATGTTTGTCCATTTTAATTCACATTTAAATGGTATTCATTATCAATCATGTGATCTGCTAATTGAATTATTTGTACTATTTGCTGCAGGATTAAATCCCTAGTTTCTATGTACAAGAAAAGAAATTTTAAACGGTATTTTAATTCTGTTTTCATTCAAAAATGAAGTCAGTATAAGGTTTAATTTAAGCTTTATTGAGCATGATTGTAGTTATCGATTTTTTATTTTAATTTTTATATATTTTACAACTCTAAACAAAAAAACTCATTTTAGTTTTGAGTCTTTGAAACATATTTTTAATATTATTAGAGAAATAAAAATAAAAATAATTTTACTGTTATTAAACAAATTCATATTTTAGTTGTTACTGTTAAAATTTGTTTTAAACAAATTTTTAATTTTAGTTTTCAATAGTTGTAAAAATTATGAAAACCAGAGCTAAAATTCTAAAACCGTAACAATACTAAATAGAATCATAATCTTCCATTTTTTTCAAATCAAATATACTCTTTAAATAAAGCATGCATTAATTCAAAATATCATTGTTTTCTTTAGTTTTATAGATTTCTCATATCCCTTTGTTAAACAACTCTCAATTTCACACACAGAGCAAACTACATTTTTCAATATCTATTTACCCTTTTGATTGAGAATAATGAGATTACTAGTGTCAGTGCTCCATACGAGGCTTTTATATTTTTTTCCCTTTTTGATGAATCCGATCGGAGGTTAGCATTTGGGTGTTCTTCGAGCTTGATACTCTTTATATTATATCATAGATGGAGTACCAAGTGGTTTCCCTTGACCATGAGCGTCTCTGAAAAGGAGACATTACAGCCAGTTCAAACAACAGTTTACTCAGATAATAAAGAGCAAAAACCCATAGAATGCCCTCCAACTTTTCGAGTATATGGGACTTTACTGCTCACATTACAACATGTGATTTTATACTCTCTTGATATTTGATTTTATGATTTTATATTCTTATGATATTCGAGTTTATGATATTTTACCCTCCTAAAGTTGTAAGGTGAGGGGTAAAATTCCACACATTAGAATATCAAGAGAGTATAAAATCACATATTGTAAGGTGAGAGGTAAAATCCCACGTACTCGAAAAGTTGAAGGGCAATCCGTGGGTTCTGCCAATAGTAAAGACATGGAATAATGCTGACATTGTTGAGGTTGTAGATGACATGCACACATTACTTCATAGCAAATCATGCTTTCCAAATTGTTTATAGTTCGGGACACAGGACCAGGATGAGACCGAGTTGTAACGATATTATTCCATACCATCGTAAGATAATTTTAGGTAGACAATCGATGGTTTTGTGGTTCCAAGAGACTGTAGGGTTGATGTACATGCAATTGGTTTTCGCAGGAATGGATTTAGAACACGAGAAGATGGTAATGTCCTTAAATGAAAAGAATAAAAATGTGAACTGGGAGAAGTTTCTGGATTTTTTTGAGTATATTCGGACCAAAATCGGTTTGAAAAATGAAAACATGAAAGCTTTTGGATTCTTTGCATATATTCAGACCAAAACCGATTCGTATATATATATTCATACTTAATTTAATTTAGCTTTAGGATAAAAAAATCCCTCGAGTGCCTATATTCGGACCGATACCAGTCTGTATATATATATACGGACTGGGATCAGTCCGTATATGCCCTTAACAACAGCTTTTTTTATTTTTTTTGTTATTTCATGCTTAACTCGTTCTACTCTCGTTTTAAACCGTAACATTCCGAATGTTTGCAAGCCAAGGTGGTTAACCTAAATAAAAAAAAATTAATTTTATTTGCTTGTGGCTCCGAAAGAGCATTACGTAACATTATCTCTAATAACCTTTAACTTATACGTTCGTGGTTTTGCAACGATATTACTCCGTACCATCGTAAGATAATTTCAAGTAGATAATCGATGGTTTTGTGGTTCCAAGGGACTGTAGGGTTGATGTACATGCAATTGGTTTTCACAGGAATGGATTTAGGACACGAGAAGATGATAATGTCCTTAAATGAAAAGAATAAAAATGTGAACTGGGAGAAGTTTCTAGATTTTTTCGAGTATATTCGGACCAAAATCGGTCTGAAAAATAAAAACATGGAAGCTTCTGGATTCTTTGCATATATTCAGACCAAAATTGATCCGTATATATATTCATACTTAATTTAATTTAGCTTTAGGATAAAAAATCCCTCGGATTGCCTATATTCAGACCGATATCGGTCCATATATATGGATTGAGGACACAAGGAGATTGTGATGTCCTTAAATAAAAAGAATGAAAATGTGTACTGTGAATTTTTTCCCAATATATTCGGACCAAAATCGGTCCGAATATATTATTAATGCGCCAAAAATTTCCCGAAAAGATTGAAAGTTTTTGATGCACCAGAAATTTTTTCCCAATATATTCGGACCAAAATCGGTCCGAATATAAGCCTTATCCCTTGTTTTCTAAATATATATACGGATTGAAATCAGTCCGTAATTAATTTATGCGCCAATTTTTTACTGTAAATTTGAATTTTTTGATTATGTGCTAATTCATTTATATTCAGACCGATTTCGGTCTGAATATTATTAATGCGCCAAAAATTTTCTCGAAAAAATTCAAAGTTTTAGGTGTGGCGCACCAATAAGGATTATACGGACCGTTTTCGGTCCGTATAAGCCTTATATATATCACCACTTCTCTTCCTTTTCCTCATTTTCTCTTCTTCCTCTCTTTCTTTTCCTTTCTTCCTCTCTTTTCTGTTCTGCCTTCTGTCTCCTTCTTTTTCTTACTTTTTTTTTTCTACTTCCTTTTATTTGTCATTTCCTCTCTTCTTTTCTCTCTTCCCTTTTCTTTCTCATTTCCTTCTATTTCCTTTCTTTCCTCTCTTTTTTCTCTCCACTTCTTCATCCTTTCTTTCCTTTTTTTTTTTTCTTCTCATTTG